AGAAAGGCCAGGGAAAACTGAATGCAAGGTGATCATCATCATCTATTCTTTATTATCATTATCGTTCTGTCCCTAAATATGTATTCTTTATCTTTATGGAGGTAACACCTTGTTTCATGATGTAGTTAGTGACTCTTAATTTTCTGCAGGGTGCTAAGGAGAAAGTGAAACAAAAGGAAGAAAGCCCACAAAGGCCAGAAAGGCCAGGGAAAACTGAATGCAAGGTGATCATCATCATCTATTCTTTATTATCAGTATCGTTCTGTCCCTAAATATGTATTCTTTATTCAATTCATGGAGACTTTAATATATGATCTCATTGCTTGTTGCTAAAACTATGACTATGTATTCTCGGGGCGTATTTTTACCGACTATTAGGTTTTTAAGATCTGAGTGTGTTGATCTAGAAAAGTAACTACTGAATATGCGCAAGTTTTCTTTTCAAATAATGCCTTGAGGCGAATCATAGTGATGTACACGTACCTCTTTAATCCTGCATCGAGGCCATAAAGAAAATATGTCTGATTGAAGTTTGAGTGCTAAGGTCAACTCAAAACTACTGCACTTTATATAGTTGTTTTGTTCTATTCTGGGAGGTTGCTTTGACCCAGTTTTCTGTGTTGGTGTTTCTCAATGTGATTCAAGATACATGCAACCGTTGCATTTTGGATGTATTTTTACTGAAAATGAATTGTTATTGTAAGTTATGTGCTTTGATACATTTAGCATAAAAATTTATTTTGTCATGATACTGAGTTCTGGAAAATTTACTTGTACTATGTTTCAGAATGCATACAACTGCCTTTAAATTCTGATGATCATTGCATCCTTTTTCCCCCATCCCCCTCAACCAACTGTTATTAGCTTAGCTTTCACAAATCTAATTAAGTCCAAGCTTCTGATTTCGAAGTGTAAAAGTTCACAATGTGGATTGCTAGTCAAGGATGACATTCAACCATTTGAGTGTGTAATTGTTTTTATCTAATTTATATAGATTTGTGTATTGTTCTTCCAAGCGCCGACAAAAGACTCCATCTTCACCCACTTTATCTTTGGGATGGATTTGTATCTTTGCCTTGGACACTGGCTCGTGTCAAAGTGATCATTGGTGGTGGTGGTGGATAGCCTTACGTCTTTGATCTCTAATGAGCGCAACAAGAATAATGCTTATATTGACGCTTTAATACTTTATCAGAAATTGAGAAGTAAATCCTTTAATTAGGACATTTCTTCCTCCCTCACCCGGAAGAATTACTTGTATCTTTTGAATTATTCTATCCAGAGTATATTGGTAATGAAATGTCCTTCATGTGGATTATCCATCCTTACATATCTTAAGAAAGGAAAAACTTTTATTACAGTTAAATAAGTTGACTGAACAAAATGGGATGCTGTAGTGAAATGAGTCTTACTATAGTCCTGCAGAAATTTTATTCACAGTTATATCCTAGTGTATTAGTTTAGTCTATGTATTGCAGATAGTTTTGCTAGTCGTGGTGATTATAAGTGAATCACTGGCTATTTTTTCCATAGCAGTGTTCTTCCCTGGGGGCTATCCATTTATTCTTTAGAAAAGTGAAATACTGTTATTGTATTCTTCTGAAATGGTCAAAAAATTTATGAAAGTTACCTGTAAGTCGACGTGGCGTGCATGGTGAAGTATTGTACTAATGACTCTTCCTCTTGTGTTACAATTTTCCGATTGCCCTCGAGTTGTTTGCAGTATTACTTGACGTCTGGAGGATGCAAGTATGGAAAAGCTTGTAGATACAATCACAATGGTGGAAAAACTTCAGTTGCTCCGATTTTAGAATTTAACTTTCTGGGTCTGCCAATCCGACTGGTATTATACCTTGATTCATTTAAAGAGATTCTTTAATATTTTGTGAGTGAATAATATAATATGATTTATCTTTATTCACTATGATCTCTGGATTGTATGAAGTTTCTCTTTACTGAATTTCTTTTGGAGGAGTTATACAAAATATTCTGACTTGTTTAAATTCAACACAGGGAGAGAAAGAGTGCCCCCATTACATGCGGAATGGATCCTGCAAGTATGGATCAAACTGCAGGTTTAACCATCCTGATCCTACTGCAGTTGGAGGAGGTGACTCTCCTTCTGGATATGGCAATGATGGATCTTTTTCATTACAAGGTGTTTCTGATTCAACAATGGCATCATGGTCTTCCCATAGAATGAATGAGACCACCCCCTACATGCCAATGTTGTTTCCACCAACCCCAGATCCTGAATGGAGTAGATATCAGGTAGTTTCTTACTTTCACGCCATTTACTATGATTTATTTATTGCACCTGCAAATCAGATGTTCTTGTTTTCCCTCCTTACTTTGGCTCCTCAATTCTGTTTATGCGTGCAGTGAGTTACTCTATATGATGTTGCATATGTTCTTTTTTTCAAAATCCTATTGAGATGTTTGATCTGTGACTAGGTCAAAAAGCTGTTTCATTCTATTTCTTTTATCCATATCTATGGTAATATATCACGGGAAAGCAAAAGTTTGTCTTTATTTGGTCTTTCACTGTCAATGCCCAAATGTCATTAATTTCTTTTATTGACTAATTTACAGTGTTCTTTAGTTTAGATTGGTAACTTTCACTGATTCCCTTTCTCCTAAACTCTGTTATGATCTTATCCCACTTAATGCACCCACACGTGAATGCCATCCAATCTTGTTCTAGATACCTGCTCAGCGGCGCTGTTAGCTATACCAAATTTATCATTTTTGTTGTTTTGGTTTTAGGATGTAACCATAATTCAAAAAAAAATCTACTGTTTCAGTGCCTTGTTAGCGTGGTATCTACCGTCTCTCTCTCTATATATATATATATATATCTCACTCACTCACACACTTTTATGATCACTCACGTTTTTGGGGCCCATCGAAATGCGCATTTTGAAGCATCCCTTATGCAAAACTCTGGGCATATGCCTTGGAGCATCATTAAATTGAAGTCCCTCTATATGTGGGTGACATGCCTCAAGAAGTGCAAGTGTTTGTCCTTAAAAAGGGCACTCGACCTTGGAATTGGGACCGAGGGAAACTGGGCACTGTAGGCAGGATGGAAGATGTATCATCTCGCTTAATAGAGATACAGTGCCCATACTTCCTTTTTCCAGAAACAAAATCGGCAAAAACCTTCAAAATCTCTTTGCCTGGACATTTCGGTTGCGTCGACCCACGTCTATGCCCTTAACACAGTAACTGAATTCTCGGCAGATTTAAGATTTGTCTTGAATGACAATCTTGGAAAGAAAATAAATGTTTTCAAGCATAAAATGCTGGGTATGACAAGTTTCATTTTCTAATGCTGTTTTTATAGGGGAATCTTTCCAAGTGTCACCTTTTGTGTAGTTGTCCTAAAAGATTCTTATAGATAATATTGTTTAGCTCTTAGTATTTTCTTACTAAAGTAGCACTTGCGTGTTATTAGGGCATTGTGTTTATTTGGCTCTTCCGTTACTAACTTGTTTCTCCTTTTGGTTTGTTGAGGCCTCCTATACCTGACATCTGCTTTTCATCCTTACTAACTTGTTTTTGTTTTGGATTGTTCAGGCCCCTGTATACCCGATATCAGAAAGGAACCTACCTACACCTCCAGCACTTGTGATGAAGAATCCAGCAACTGATACAAACTTCTACCCTCATCAGCAGCAGCAAATGCTAGTTGACGAATATCCTGAAAGACCTGGCCAACCTGAATGCAGTTACTTCTTAAAAACTGGGGACTGTAAATATAGATCCAACTGCAAATTTCACCATCCGAAGAGTCGGATGCCCAAGCCACCCCCTTGCATTCTCAGTGACAAAGGCCTACCGCTAAGACCTGTGAGTTTATTGTTTAATCTGGTCCTTGTTTATTTTCCCCAAGTCATCCTGAAAATTTCATATCCTCAGTGGAGTTTGAATGTGCTTTTCTTAAAATATTATTAATTAAATGGAAATAACAATCAAAGCAAAAGGAATTTCACTTTCCAGATGATCTGTTAGAAATGTGTCTGATCTATCTCATGTTAGGGCATTTGCTTAAAAGATTATAGCCAAGGGTTCCTTCTTTGATATTTCTGTCAACAAAATGTTCCTCATTTGTGTTACATTTCTAAGAGCTTCATTTTATGGTCCATTCAAAAAAAAAAAAAATAGCTTTCAATTGGTGCTCTATAAGTCTTAATTTTTTCTTCTCAATTTAGGATCAGAACATCTGCTCACATTACAGCCGCTATGGCATTTGCAAGTTTGGGCCTGCTTGTAGATTTGATCATCCCACAAATTATGGCAACTCAAGTTCTTCAGTTGAGTCTGAACCCAATCAGCCTCCTTCCATTGCCAATTCAACAATGGTGGATGGGGCAAGAATGGCTATCTGATGTAGCAGCCTGTGTAAGAATTTTTGCATCGAAGTGTTTAGAACCCATGATACAAAGATTTTGAATTCTTCCTAAGTAGTGCCCCAAGTCCTTCAAGAGGATGGCATGATAATTACCATCTGTCACAAGCGCAAGCAAAATTGGGATATGTAAATTATCTCTATACCAAGTAATTTTATCAGCTAATATACATAGTGATGTTGGCATTTTTATTATGACGCTTGAATTCTTGTGCCACCAGTTTAGAGCTGCCTGTATGAGTATCTCCCAGTTATTTCCTGCACTGGTTGGTCTCAGCTAGCCCACATTTGAATATACAGGTGTGATCATTGTGATGAATTGTGTTCTAATATGATTGATGAACTAAAGCTTCTAGCTTGTTTGATGTGCTTCGGCAAACTTAACCAATCACGTTTGGCCATTCAGGCTAACCCATGATGGTTCACTTGCCAATTCAGCCTAAACCTCGCCACTCATTAATTGGAAACAGGGAAGGAAATAGGTGAACCACGAGAGAGGAAAACAGAGTGCTTGTCATCGTAAATGAGACGCCATTGTTCTCCACATACAAGCCAATCATAGTTCTTAATTGTCTTAAAAACAATTGCATTCTGCAGTCACAGTTAAAGATTCAGCTCCATTTCAGTATACTTTTCCTTCAATTCCCCGGATAGAAATCACTCGAGTTTTACCATCAAGAAAATATTCTTGAGGTAATCCAGATCCTCCAAACCGAAACAGGGAATCAACCAGGCCCAGTTGTTTTGGCCAAGGTAGTTGAGTTAAACGGCAGAAGGGTACTTGGACCTAACCTGATTCACTCATAATCGAGGTCCAAAACTTTATATATATACAAAAACATGTATATGTATGTATGTATGTATATATATAGATTGCCCACTGTAAATCAGATTCACTGTAACAGGACCTCGAGGAATCAATTCAGCAACAACTACAAAGATGAAAAACACAATCTGATCTGAACCCCGAGAAGTTCATTTTTGTGTCCAACTCCGGTCTTTCCCATTCTAAAATTATTCTATAAAAAGCATGGGATACAGAGAAAGGGTGCAAAAGAAGCCAAAAAAACAAAACAAGAAAAAAATCAGAACAAAAAGGGTACACCTAATATCTAGATATATATTCCCTCTCCTACCACGGGGATCTCTAGAGCTTTTTTATATTCTCCATCAGTTTTCCAGGAAAAAAGACAATGGCCGTTTGAAAGAACTCCTCACCCTGACCAATTAGATCTCTGACGGTGTGGTGTGTTCAACCACAACAAAACCATTTTCTCTGCATTCATTTTCAGGGGGGGAAATAGTAAGCTCAGAAAATTCAACATGACAATTAGACAACTCCTAATATAATCACTGCCAACATCTTATCACCCCACATGAGCAACGTTTATAATATGTCATACCTTTGGGGGAAAGTTGTCATTTTGTTTATAAGTGGCATCGTTCCTTCGGGGTGACTCCATGGTCCCAGCAGTGCCACTGGTCCTCTTCTCATCTCTGGCCTTGTTAAATATGACGGTAAACCCTTCAGCTGAGGCAGGGTTGTTCACATCCCACTCACCAAATTTTGGCAATGGCCGACCATTACCTGGCTGCAGAAAAGCAAAACATCAACTATGAGAATGTTTTCCTGGTTTTTGCAAGGTAAAATATAATTAGAAGATTGTTTGAAATAGACATTCAATTAACAAGAATTATATTTGAAATGACCTCTGCTAAAAACAACGGTCAGAATAGGCAGTGAGATAATATCAAGTCAATCACAAACTATTAGCGGTCATAGCAATAAGCAATGGAATTTAACACAAACAAAGACAACAGCTTCCATTTCCCTCAAACATCCAATTCAGTCACAACTCCTCCACCCCTTCCTTTCCTCCCTCCCTTTTTATTATGCCCCATGTCACTATTTACAGGCATTAAGAGCAGGATTATAAGTGTGAAAATGGATAATCTAACAATATAAATAAATCATATTCGACATGCTACAACCAAGTGGCTTGTGGCATCTGGTTTACGAGGCCCATGTATTATTTCTCAGCATCCTTGTCGACCTTTCTAGGAGGGAGAGCAAAAAGAAGACATTGTGCCAATATTGCAAATTTGACAAATCCTCAAAGGGAAAGTTAAAAAATTGCAAAAATATGTTGATGCAATTCCCTGGTCAAAATAAAGCAAGGCTCGAGCAGCAGTTATGTATTACTTCACTCCACTGATTTTTTGGGGGGATACATATACGGGAGAATGGAAACTCCACTACTTTTTAAAAATAATTAACAATAATTTCTTCAGATTGCTGCTCCAGATGCTATAACAAGGTAAGTTAGTCAAAGCACAGCAGCATGGATCATGGCTCTGTAGAATATATAGAATATATGTAAGTATACAGACAAGAGAGAGAGAGAGAGAGAGAGAGAGAGAGAGAGAGAGAATAAGAAAATAGGGCAAAGAACTTAAGTCACCATTCCTCATAGAACAATATATAGGTAGGTATAGGGTTTATAATGTAATGACCCTATTACCCGTCACTAATATACTCATTAACATCACTAATATACTCATTAACACTCCCCATCAGGCTGAACTATATATATCAAATAGTCCTAGATTGGAAAAGATAAAGAAATNGGTATAGGGTTTATAATGTAATGACCCTATTACCCGTCACTAATATACTCATTAACACTCCCCCTCAGGCTGAACTATATATATCAAATAGTCCTAGATTGGAAAAGATAAAGAAAATTTTTTCTCTAGTCAGAGCCTGGGTAAAAATATCTGTCTATTGATCCTTAGGCCGTACAAAACTCATAGTGACCTCCTTAAACTAAAGCTTTTCACCAACAAAGTGACAATCAACTTCAATATATTTTGTTCGATCATGAAAAACTGGATTGGAAACAATATGAATAACAACCTGATTATCACAAAATAACGGCATTGGAAATTTNTTTCACCAACAAAGTGACAATCAACTTCAATATATTTTGTTCGATCATGAAAAACTGTATTGGAAACAATATGAATAACAACCTGATTATCACAAAATAACGGCATTGGAAATTCCACTGGGAAATCAATCTCATGCAAGAAATTCTTCAACCATACTAATTCACATGTAGTTTGAGTCATAGTTCTATATTCAGCCTCAGCGCTGGTACAGGCCAAGAAACATACAATACCCTGTGGTAGACCGTCCATCCGATTGGGAATCAAAACAATCGGCATAAGTAAAACCAATCACTTATAAATTTCCATGAACTTTTTATAACAATCTCTACCCTGAAGCATTCTTCAAATATCTCATAACTCGGATAACTGCCTCCGAATTGGGTACTCTTGGAGAATCCATAAATTGACTTACAACACTAACCACAAATGAAATATCTGGTCGTGTGATAGTCAAGTATAATTCAATTTACCAACCAATCTTCTATACCTTTCAGGATGTTCAAACAACTCTCCTTGATCAACAGTCAATTTTGTATTGGATTCCATGGGAGTATCAACTAATTTTGTACCTATAAGCCCAGTTTCAAGATCAACACATACTTGCACTGAGACAAGTTAATACCATTCTTTGATCTAGCCACCTCAATTCTAAGAAAATAACGTAGCTTACCCAAATCTTTAATATGAAACTTCTGCTGCAAAAAAATTTTAAGACTAGCAATACCTTCAACATCACTACATGTGATAAGAATATCGTCCACATCAACACTAAAACAATTATGCCAGATTCAGAGTTCTTGCTGAACACATAATGATCTACTTGAGATCATTGAAGTCCAAATTCTAACGCTGCTTCAGTAAACTTTCTAAATTAAGTCTGAAGTGATTGTTTTAGGCCATATATTGCTTTCTTCAATCAGCAGACTTGACCACTAGACTCCCCATGAGCAACAAATGCAGGAAGTTGCTCCATATAAACTTCTTCAGTTAACTCACCATGTAAAAAGCCATTCTTTACATCTAGCCGAAATAAAGGCACGTGGAAATTCATAGAGTAACCAGAATAAAGGAGATCTTGGCAACAGGGGAAAAGGTTTCCGCATAGTCCACACTATATGTCACCTTGCCTTTAGTCTCTTGATCGAATCATCAAGCGCATACATCATCGACAACCAACTACTTTCTTTCATGGAGGAAGTGAGACAAGTTCCCAAGTCTGGTTTTGATGCAAAGTAGTAAGCTCCTTTTCCATAGCTTTCTGCTACCCAAGATCAGTAAAAGCTTCATTAACAGAGTGAGGAATGGAAATAAACGAAAACTAGGAAATAAAACAACAAAAACTAGGAGATAAACCATCATAGGAAACAAAATGTTGGATAAGATGAGCAGTAGAACTAGTAAGTACTGTACCTGATCGTTTATCCTTTCAAACTGCATCAGGAAGATCAATATCCAAAGATGGTATGTTGTGGGAACCAAATGAAGTGGAGTCAAGACCATCAAACGACAGAGAGAGTGGTGGAGACGTTGAAACAGTTGTCTTCAAGCGACATAGTACACTTGTGTAATAGGAGATTTCTTAGCCAATAAGAAATTTGAGTTAGACAAAACAGGAAGAGGTAACAAAACTGGGGATTTATCAAAACCAACATCTGTTGACGCCTTAGAGGAGAAGGGAACTGACTCAAAAAATGTAACATTGACACAACTGTATTGACAACGAAGGGTAGGGTTATAACACCTATAGTTTTTCTGAGTACAAGAGTTACCTAGAAAAACACAGTTGACAGATTTGGGATCAAGTTTGTCTATACCAGGACTTAAGGACTTAATTGATGAACAAAGGAGACACAACCAAAAATACACAGGGGAAGAGAGAATAAGGAATGATTGGGAAACAAAACCTGGTATGAAATTTGATCATTAAGATCAGAAGAAGACATACGATTAATCAAGTAACATGCGGTTAGTACTACATCAGTCTAAAAAAATTTAGGAACTTTTATGTTAAAATAGGAGAACACGAGCAACCTCAATGAGGGGGCAATTTTTGTGTTCGGCCACTCCATTTTGTTGAGGAGTGCCACTAGATGAAGTACGATGAAGCATACCAGTAAAAAGGTCATGAAATGGGTTAGAAAGACATTCATTTGCATTATCAGACTATAAAATGCGCATAGGCATACCAAATTGGGTCTTAATTTCCATAACATAGATTCAAAAATGGAAAGCAATTCAGAACGATCTTTCATTAAGTAAAGCAAGGTCATCCTGGAATAATCATCAACAAAAGTAACAAAATACTTGAAACCTAAATAAGAAGACACACGAGTTGGACCCCAAATATCTGAGTGTACAACTTCAA